CACCATGGATGGCTATTACATGATTTCCTATGACTGGTAGAAAGAGTTGAGGATTTGACTTTAGGATCTGTGCATTTTTCTAATTGTAGCCATACTTTACAGAAAATCTAGTCATTAGATAAAAGCCAACAAAGAATTTTGTTGTCAGTCTTTTTATTCATTGGTGGACTAGTTAATGCATTTAAATTTCAATCCATTAAAAGTTTCATGGCATTTGAGAGAACAACTATTTGAGATCTTGACTACATGCATTAACTAGTTCAGTGTGGTTTTTAAAGATAATTTCCAAGTAAGATAGACTACTGGGGATGGATTGATAAACATAACACCCACACTACAGAGTGGTTATATCTTTGGATTTATAAATGAATACGATTTCGGCCACATTATGTAAGTGGATAAGGAAAGTAAGTGATCCCCTATATAAGACCTGTGCAAGAATAGGGTATCAACATTTCTTCATGGAGGGGGCAAGAGGCTCCTGCCCTCGATAAGGGCTTATAGGCAGTTAACAGGCAGTTGAGCAAGATGAAAGAAGGATCCAGAAGCTAAGCAATATAACTACAGAAGGCAGCTTCACGAGCTCCTCTCTCTCTCTCTGAGGAGATACTGGCAGTTAACTGTTGCTGTGGAGGGGGAAGCATTAGGTGTGCCCATGAGACCTAAGTCTGATGAAAGGACAGAAATTCATAATTTTCCACCACTCTCCTCTTCTTCAGGAACCTTAAAGTCCTACCTGGGTGTCATAATAAATTTGGGCAGTCTCATTATTCATAAATTCTCTTTTGCCATATAAAGTGACATTCACAAATTCCAGAAGTCAGAACCAAGTATCTGTGGAGGAAACATTATTCAGCCTAACATATTTTTCATATAATAATCCTAGCCAAACAGCAAAAAATGAATCTCTGATCACAGTGAGGGTTTTCACCCTAACATGATCATGCCCTTGACAATTCGTTTTAAAACAAAAAAGTGCAAAATCTACATTTATAAATACAATAAGGTATTTTTTATACTTGTCTAAATATTTTCACTTTAATTAATAGAAGGGCATTTAAGGTAGCCCCTCCACTATTGCTTAGATCCTTATTTATACTCTTATACTACTTCATGGACTGCAATGTGATGATCTCACAGACTATACAGGGCTGTTAATCTGGCATGTTTAATCCATCTACTATAGTTCCTTTTATACTAAGTTAATTCAACTGTTATGCTGTCCTGGTACATACCCAAGAGGCCATGTTTTGGATTACAATAAGCCACAGTTATAAGGCAAATAGGACAGCTTTTAAAAGGCAGACAGCTATCTAACCAACCTAATACTATAGGCCGGAAAACTAAGCTGGCTAGGTACCAAAAAACATTCTTTGAGAGCAGAGCTCTGAATATTATGACTACTGTCACTGAAGGCCACTGAACTAGAAGAAACTCAGAACCTCTGGACACAGAGATGCTGCACTGCAAGGAAGGGAGGGAGGGACAAAGAATGCCTTCATCCTGTGATGAGGGGTGCTATCCAGCCACCTGAGGTTGCTGGGGAGAGGGGGGAGGAATGCAATAGGAATGAGCAGGGGAAGATGAGCTAAGTTCACAGAGTGCTCCAACGCCAATGGAAGGAAACTACTTGGGGTAGAATGGTACAAATGAGAGCAAGGAAGACTGGAAAAAAGGGTCTGTGGGAATCAAGAAAAATAAGCTATATTTGAAAATGTCATAATGAGCCAGGCGGTGGTGGCACACACCTTTAGTCCCAGCACTTGGGCAGGTGGATCTCTGTGAGTTTGAGACCAGCCTAGTCTACAAGAGCTAGTTCCAGGACAGAGTCCAAAGCCACAGAGAAACCCTGTCTTGAAAAACAAAAACAAAAAAAGAAAATACCATAATGAAACATAATACTTTCAAGTCAATTTAAAAACTAAAAAATAAATTGATGTTTTACAAGAGTTTTAAAAAAGAAAGAAAAGTATGCTTCATAGCTTTCCATGGAACCATGAATGTGTGTGGTAGAAATCTTGGGAGTGAGGTTTCAACATATACAAATATCATTGGGGATTATGTGGCAAGAAGCTGTCTTGGATTTTTGCAAGCACATTTTCCAGAGCTATAAGCACAATTATGGCACTTCATTCTGTAAATGCATCAAGGCCAAGTCATGTTTTTCTACTTCTAATAAGCCAGGTATAGGGAGTCACCAGGAAGAAGGAGCAAAGCAGACCAGAACCTGTCCAATGGACCCATCTCCATCTGCCTCTATCCTCAGCATAATACTTTCTTATGCCATCCCTTAGACAGCAGAGGGTGGTAGTCATAGCTAGTAGCTCCAATACTAGACATTCACCTGAGCACCAGGTACAGCTAGCCACTCTTTGGAAAGTACCCTGATCATGTGGGGACAGGAAAGGACACGAAAGAGGGGGGATTCTCATCTTTCAAGCTATACCTAAAGAAGTCACTGCCCAGCAGAAACATGAAATGTCTGAGATCACATGGAAAGAAAGTGATACACTGGGACCCAAAACTAAAGTCTTCTGATTCTTTTGTGAAAGCTGACTGGAGAGCCTCTGAGAAGTTCTGTCTGAAAGACCAGCATCAGCAGAGCAGGCCTGCCAGGACCCGATGAACAGTGAAAATTTCAAATGTGGACACTGACAGTCAGGGGCATAGATTGTTGGCACACTTGATTTGGGTCCCAGTGGTAAGCACAAGCAGCAGTTGAGAGTGTTAATAAGAAACAGCTGACCTGAACAAGGGGTTGCTCATGGACCCCAGACTGATAGCTGGGAAACCAGCATAGGACTGTTCCAGACCCCCTGAAGGAGGAAGTCAGTTTGGAAGTGTGGACAATCTATGGGGCCTCTGGTAGTGGATCAGTATTTGCCCCTAGTACACAAATGAATTTTGGGAGCCCATCCCACATAGAGGAATACTCTCTCAGCCTAGACACACGGGGGAGGGTCTAGGCCCTGCTTCAAATGATATGACAGACTTTGAAGATCCCCCATGGAAGGCCTCACTCTCCCTGGTGAGCAGAAAGGGAATGGAATAAGAGGTGGAGAGGGCAGGGAAGGAGGGGAGGGAGAAGGAACTGAGATTGACTTGTAAAACAAGCTTGTTTCTAATTTAAATTAAAAAAAGAATCCCATACCCAAGGGCAACACCTTTAATCCCAGCACTCGGGAGGCAGAGGCAGGAGGATCTCTGTGAGTTCGAGACCAGCCTGGTCTACAAGAGCTAGTTCCAGGACAGCCTCCAAAGCCACAGAGAAACCCTGTGTCAAAAAGCAACAACAACAAAAAAAGAATCCCATACCCTTTCTGTGAAACATCAGGGACAGAATTTATGCACAATACATAAAAACTCTTCAAATACAGGCTCAGCCTCTGATGGTGCTGCACTGCTTTATGAGATATACCACCACTAATAACCCATAGCCTCTCTCTGAGAATAGCACTGGCAACTATGTTCACAGCTGAAGATGTTTATAAATAAATTCATTAATGTTCTATTGAATTTCATGTTGCTCAGGTAATAGCATTTATATACTGTAGGGAGAAATCCTGTTTAGAGGTACTGCTGACCACGCCCACTAGGGCCTGGCCACAGGTATCACTAACCACGCCCACTTGGGTGTTGTCAGAGTGATGTAACAAGGCTTTAAGTAGTAGAGAGGTACGCCCACGGGCCCTTTTTCTGTCTTCCGCCTGGCTGAGCAGACTAGGAGGCATCTGGTGGGTCACTCCTGCTCCAGTGCAAACCTGGTCACTGGCTTCCTTGTGTGAGTACTATTCTTTAATAAACTACCAATCTAGTTCTGACTTCACTTTGTAAACCTTTTTAATACACTATTGTTATTTAGTTTACCAGTACATCCAAGACTGGTGACACATGACTTTAATCCCAGAACATAGGAGAGAGAGGCAGGCTGATCTCTGTTTGAGGCCAGCCTGTTCTACGTAGAAAGTTTCAGAGCAGCCAGGGCTATGCAGAGAGACCCTACCTCAAGAAAAAGGAAGAAAGAAAAAGAAAAGAATATAGAAGCATATATACATACATCTATTTCACATAGCATTTTAGTATTATACATGCTAATCCTTGTGTAAATCCTTTTAGAACAAGGCAAAAAAATTAAAAATATCTAAAGGAAAAGGCATACTATGTTTTCTATTTTGTGTATTTCCTTCTGGTTTTACCATTACTTCCCAGTGCTCTGTAAACACCCTTGAGACCCTTGAAGCTCATGCCAACAGTGTGCCACTTCCAATGGTCTCCCCTATTCTACTGCCGTCATCTTCTGACCTGAGATCTAACTTCCCAAGAAGCCTTTCCCACCACAGTCCATGTCTTCATCCACTCTTCTCCAGTTAGCAGCATTGCACTGGGAATCCGATGTGCCTGGGAGGCCGAAGACTTCCATGTGCTCCTAAGGCTGTCCATGTTCACAACATCCTGTCATGAAACAGGATGTATTCACTTAATAGGTGAGAAATTTCCTAATATGGGCATTTCTGCAATATGAGCAGCAGAGCTCAGTGCACACCAGTGACATCATAAAGTCTATGTTGTAACAAAGCTGTCTCCTGAGGAGCAAAGATAAATACTGGTAGTATTTATCTTTGACAGATAGCTTCTCTGCCCTCTACCTCAGCCAAATCCTCCCTCCAGGGCCACCTGTCTTCATACCTCACCAGGAGCCTGTCACCAGTACCTCTTACTTTCTCTCTTGACCACCTCCTGCCACCAAGACCACTGCCCACACAGTTCCCATTCGAAATTTCCCCTGGAAATCAAATCTCCCAGGCTGACCACAGCTCCAAACCCACCATGACTCTTCTGTGTGTTTCTCTAGCTCAAAATGAAGAACCAAAAGGAGTCAGAACCACTGGCTTCAGATGTTTTAATACATGTTTGGTTAATCTCCCCAGCAAGGATGACAGTGGAACTGGTTGAGGCTGAAGGGGTTGGTGGACCCTCTAGCCTCTAAGACCCATGCAGTATCAGTTGTCATCGGCTTCCAGTGTCTTAACCCCAGAGCTGGTGTCTTCTTTGAAGAGTTCATGGAGGTGCTCATTGTTGTGTACCACTCGAAACACGTGTTCTGGGGTGATCCTCTTCCTGCCGTTGGTATGGGCCTCCTCACCAGCCAACTCGAGAATGTTAGATGTCAGGTACTCGAGTACACCAGCGAGAAACACCGGTGCAGAAGAGCTAAGGCGTCGGGAATAGTTTCCCTCCCGCAGGAAGCGGTCTACCCGGCTGACGGGAAATTGAAGCTCAGCTCTTGCAGATCGGGATACGTTTCTTCTCCTCCTCCTCCTCCTTCTTCTTCTTCTTCGCTTTTTCCCAGCCATGGTGACTATTGGATGGATTGGGCTCCGCCTCGCCTCTCTTCTGGCCTGGGTCCCTCAAAATGACCAACCCTCTTAACTGCCCAAGTATTTATCTTTGCTCCTCAGGAGAGGGCTTTGTTACAACATAGACTTTATGATGTCACTGGTGTGCACTGAGCTCTGCTGCTCAGTGCAGAAATGCCCATATTAGGAAATTTCTCACCTATTAAGTGAATACAGCCTGTTTCATGTGTCTGTGTGTGCGTGTGTGTGTGTGTGTGTGTGTGTGTGTGTGTGTGTGTGCGCGTGTGTCCTGAAGTTGACCTCTGGAATCATCCTTGATCATCATCCTTGATCATTCTTCTATCTTATTTACCGAGACAAGATCTCTCAGTCCAAGCCAGAGCTCACCAATAGTCTTATGAGCCACCTTGCTTGAGAGATCCTGCCTTAGTATTTCACAGCTTTACAGGCCAGCCACCAAGCCCACCTGGTTATATCCTCTTTTTATGGGAACATTTTCTATTTGATCTATGTGTCAATGGAAAACTTCTGCCCATGGAAAGCAACTCCAACTTATACATCAGACTTGGTTTTGCCTCAATTTACATAGTCACCTCAGTATTCCTAATCAACATTCCTGTTTCTATTTTTTGCTCTTCTTTGAACAGCTCATCACATTTGCCACTTAACATCTGCCAGATATTTACATGTTAAGTATTTCACAGGTGTCATATCTCTTTGAGGATTTGGATTTTACCATTTTAGATAATCTTACCCACCCATTTTGGAGCACATCCACACATATACTTAACCGATTCACTTCACAATAGATACTCTACAGCCATTTCAAGTTCAGTGACAGAAATATACTCCCATGCCTACCCTTTTCAGTACTTCATGTGAATCCCATACATCAACAGAACATTTTTCAAAGATTATTTTTACTATATATTAATTGTATAAATTAATAGGTTTTGTTGTGAGATTTCCATCCATACACACAAAGTACTTCTTTGATCATATTCTTTGAATTTTCTAACATTTATTTATTCGACAGCATGAATGTTATGGCATGCATGTGGGAGGGAGGGAATGACTTGCAGGAATTGGTTCTCTCTTTCTACTATGTGGTGGTCACTGGGTGTAGAGACAAGTGCTCTTAACAGTTCAGTCATCTCTCCAGCCCTGGTGCAATGTTCTTTTTGATTCTGTTTTTACTATTTTGTTTTCCTGATTTCTAGTTTAGTGTTGCTGTTTTATTTCCTATCCCTTTACAGTATATAAGTTATTCTCCATTGTTAACAACAGTAACTAACAATTTTCTGATTTTGCTTTATTTTCTATTAAAATAAAGTTTACATAACATAAAATTTACCATCTTAGCCAATTATAGAATTTGATGTCCACTTGCAATGTTATGAAACTATTAGCATCCCACCACGGTCACTGCCTATACTATTCCCATGGAAACTGCTTCCTAGAAATCAGATTGAAATGTCCTTACAGCTCTCATACCTCCAATCCTTTACAAAGTAGCCTTTGGGTATTATGAGAGCTGATGCCCCAGTCTGCTCTCAAACTCTTTTATAGACATGGATGATCTTGAGCTTCTGATACTCTTGGCTCTATCTCCCAAATGATGAATATAGGCATGTGTCACCACACCTGATTTATTCTGTGCTAGTGCAGGCATGTTAGGCAAGCAGTCTAGCAACTAAACCACATTCAAGACCCCCACCTCTTTTTGAGACAGGGTATCTGTCATACATAGCAGGCTGGCACCAAGAAACCTTAGACTTCTGATATTCCTGCCCCCAAGTGCTGTAATATAAGTGTGCACCACCACACTTGGCTTGTGTGGTTCTGGGGCTTCATGAATACTAAGTAAACATGTTACCAACTGAGCTATGATAAACTCCTAGCCCCTTTTGTGTTTTTTCTGTTCTTTTGTCTTTCTTCTTCTATGGTACCAAAAACCGAACTGAAGGCCATGTGCATGCTAGGTAAGCACTCTCTACTGACCCATATCCCTAACCCTAACATCCACTGAAAACAGACTTATCTCCCTTTACACACCCATTTAAATATTCCTTTTTATATCCCCATATCTTCTCTTTGTCTATCTTTTGAGGAAGTTTTAACATCTTTTTCTCTCATGATCTAAATGGAATCTTTAAATATGTTCATTTTATGAAAATTGTAAGTTTTAAATTTAAAAAAAAATGCCACAGAAACCTGCTCTTTGTCCAAAGAGCTTCCATGACTATAACTGTAGCAAGGGCCTAGAAACACTCCTGGCACCTCCTCTGCTTCCCCTTCATATGTAATTATCAGTCACTCCTTTCCCATATTTTTAATACTGTTCCAAGAATTCATTATGACTATTTTATTCCAACACATTATCACTGTCACCTCAGAAATTCTACTGGCCCACTTACTGTCCTTCCTATTACTTCTCTTACTGTCTTCCAATTCATTTCCCAGAGTAGTCATTTTCTAACACTAAATCTGCTTATGACACTGGATTGCTTGAAACTCATCAGTGACTTCCCACTGCATGTAGATTATCATTTTAAATCCTAAGACGCTCTATACTGCTTTTCCTTCATCTAGCTTCTCTGCCTCATTGGTCATTTTAAAATATAAGTCTATCTTCTGGAAAATTTTGACTCATTTCCAAGACTGATTAGAATCCACACAGTCTCCTTAACTTTTACTTTGCACAAGTTATCAGAAATAAAATAAATACATGATCAATCATTTATCTCATGTCTGTCATTTTCTTCCAAGGTGACAGGAGCCTGTCTATTTCACTAACACTTTATCCTCAGAGACAAACAAACACAGAGACTAGAACACAGAGCATACTCAATAAATCTTCACTGCATCCATGAATGAAACCACACAAATCTAATCTTAGCTCATGGTTCCTCTAGTAGACTGTAGGTGAAAAGAACATCCTCTACCTCACAGGAAACCATGAGAAACAAATGTTACGAGGTTCCTACAGTACGTGGCATAAAATACATGTTCATGGAACAATTATTACAGACTATAGTAGACTGAAAAAGGGTACTACTCTCAACCCTGGCAAGGCAAATGGTAAGCTGTCTGGACCTTCCCAGAGCCAGCAGAGCAGAGCAATTTTAGAATTCTAACCTGGGTTTAAGACCAACATATCCTCCAAGATCCCAGAGACTTGATCATGCTTCTGCTGAAAATTGACTAAACTGAGGGACTCAAATGATGGCCAACGAGTCTGTTATTTGTTAACTACAGGAAAATTTTCTAATAGTACATGATGTTATTTACATGAAATAGGCAAAACAAACAAATCCATAGAAATTGCAAGAAGATTCATGGTTGCTAAGGGATAGAAAGCAAGGAAAATACTAACTGATAATGTGTAGGTTTTTTCTTGACATGATGAAAATGCTCTAAATTTTAGAATCTAAAATGATAGATAACAGTTATCTTGGCACAACACTGTAAATATACTAAAAGTATTAAGTTTGTTCTACACACTAAACTGCAAAAAAGAGAAAAGAACCCTTCAGTTATGTAGCTGGCACCATGATTCCTAAGTCAAGGTCACAAAAGATGTCAGTTTCACACTTGGAAGCAATACCATGCTGTGAGGAAGCCCAAACTCTCCCCACATGCAAAATAGGCGAGACTCTAAGAAGGCAGTGATGAATCTTCAATGAATTCTAACTCCCACATATTTGAGCCACCTCAGCTGCTCCGAACTAGAGCACAAGTGAACTTTTCTTTTTGAGCCCTGGACAAAATATGGATTCATACACGTCCCGCCCCCTCAAATGTTATCAGTTTAACTCACTGATTTTAGGTTATCGAACAGGACATAGATTCAGAATGAATGAACATATAAATGGACTTCACCTGAATACAAACTGTTTTGCTTCTCAGCTTGAACCTCAAATGTAAGCAGAAATGGTTTTAGAAATCATGCATACATACATCTGCCAGTAGTGAAGCTCTGCTGTAGGACAGTAATGTACAGCTGCAGTGTCAGTTGTGGGGCAGAACCTAGGAAAGCCTGGATCACGGATGCCCGACTGAAGGCAGAGCGATGGGTAAACATCTTGCCTTCTGCCTGGCCCACCTCCTTCTCGACCTCCTCTGTAAGGCCATCTTTTGGCATTTGCCGTTTCTTGGTGATGCTCACATAAGGTTCTTCGTTCTGGCTGGACTGACAGTAGAGGCAAAAGACTTCAAAACATCTAGAAACAAATTAACGAGTCACAGAATTAGTGAATGGCAGAATTAGTGAATTCTGTCCTTTTGCAGTCATCCAAATTTCACTTAGCCTAATTTTCAAACCCTTGTCCGGCTATTCTAAATCATTCACTCTCAGGATCTAAGGAGTCAATCTTGTACAAGGCCAGCAGTAAGCCACTGGGAACTGAGTGAGAATCAAGCAAAGGTGACATTGAAAGCTACCAAGGCAAAGAAAACAAGAGAATGGGAAGTAACTGACACTCTAGAGTCACAGAAAAATGTTTAGTGTTTCTTCCTGACACACATTAGCTGTGCAGCTGTAAGCAAAGCCCTTACATTCTGAACTTTCCCCCTCAATAATAAAACAGAGAAAATACCTGTTTTTAACATCCTGCAGCGAAAGAGGACTAAAGGATGTAAGACTGTGTGTGTGTTTATGTTCCACATAAAACTGACGCCACAAACCAACCTACTTTTTAAAAAATGCAGGCTCACTCCTATAATCTCAGCACTCTCTAGACTCTACAGTCTTGAGGCTAGGGCAGAATGCTTGTCAAAGAGTTCTAGGCCAGCTTCAGCTACACAGTGAGCAACTGAGCCTGGGAGAGAGTAAGGTGGAGGGGAGGGAGGGAGAGAGGGAGGGAGGGAGAGAGGGAACATAAAGAAGAATAAAGTTGGCTAATTATACAGCACAGAGTTGTTTGCCATTTAGAATTTCATTGGAAGACCACAACATATTACCTATTTCTTTATCCTAATGAACCCATATCGGCTGTGGCTAAATCCAAACATGCCCAGGGCTTGGCAAATGTCTTATTTAAGGACTCCCAAGCCTGCTCTAGGGACACATCCTTAACTAGTAACTAAAATGTTTCTCTCTAGATAATATTATAAATAGATACTGATGGAAAGAAAAAGTACCGGTGCCTATGATTTGCTTTGAAGCATACATACATACACACTGAGAGAGACACACACATAGATGGGAAGAGAGGGAAAGAGAGATTGAGAATGAATTGATGGATGGAGAGATGGAAAGATACATGAAACAAAATGTTAATTATAGAATCTAGGTTGTAGGTACTTGGGTGTACAAGTCATTAAGAATTTCTTCTGTGTATTTGAAAACTTACATAATAAAGTGCTAGGAAAAACAGATTTTCCCTTGGGTTTAAACATTGACATTTCTGACCTAAAACAGGCACTTTCATAACAATCTTATAATGCTGCTGGATTTTGTGGTTTCATTAGATTTATTGAATGTTGTTAACTTTATAATATCACCTGGAGTTATCTATGACAACCTAAGTACATTTATAATTTGAAATAGTAAAATAAGCCCTTCTTTTTGAAGCATGAAAAGAAATATAACAACCTTTCTGGTGAGCACAAAGTGGACATATTTCATGATTATTACCTTTGTTCACTTATTTCTAGGGGAAAGAAGTTGTGTGGTTTGTGTATCAGGGAAAGTGTGTCTACTGTTTTGGAATATACATTCAATCAAAGATGCTTGGCATGGCAGCATCTAGATTGTTTGGAAGAAATGATAATAAAGTTTAGTTCATGAATTCAAGCCCACTTACTCCAAAATTTAAACTTTTGACTGATGAATGAACATCCCTTAAAACTGTTGTTCCATCGAAAATGGCAAGTTGTAGGAGACAGAATAAAATGGTCACAGTATTTATTCTTAAAGAGGTAGTAACAGCAGATGTACTTTACTAAGATAGCTTGAAGACTTCCACTTTATTCATTCAGAGGTGCTCACTATCTAAATGGGATAATGAGGCATATCCCATATAAATAGAAAAAGCACAACATGTAACAGAACAATATTTATGTTGTACTTTTGGTTCCCATGATAGTTTCTGATGCACTAGCTCACAAAGAAATCTTACTGGGCTGGAGAGATGGCTCAGCAGTTAAGAGCACTGTCTGTTCTTCCATAGGTCCTGAGTTCAATTCCCAGCAAACACATAGTGGCTCACAACCATCTATATTAGGATCCAACCATGCAGAGCACTCACACATAAAAACATAAATAAAATTTAAAGAAATCTTACTGAAAGAATTTAAACAAGCATCATTTCTAACAGCAAAATAAGATGGCCCTTTGTTTTATTTTAGAGGCCCTCAAAGTGAAAGGATCCTTAAATATATCAAAGCACATCCACTCAATTAAATACTATGTAGTTCTCAAAACAGACAGTTTAGGAAATATCTAATATAAATAACATAAGACTGAGTTGGTGAGATGGCTTACTAGGTAAAGGTGCTTGGTGCCAAACATGAGCAATTGAGTTTAAACCCTAGGTCTCCCTCAAGTGGTGAAAGGAGAGAAATGACTCTCCCAAGTTGTCCTCTGACCTCCACACATGTACCAAGGCATGTGCACATGCACACCAACACAGATACACAAATACACAATCAATCAAATTAAATAATTTTTCATTAAAATCCCAGGATTGGGATATGCTTAGCATGTGTTAGGTCCTGAATTCAATCCCTAGCACATCCAATTTATTAAAATAAAAAAATACATTTATCATATTTGATAAAAATATCTTATCATATTTGATAAGGCAAATTTTGAGAGAAAACTTCACTCATTTAAATGTATACACACTACACAAACGTACACATACATATAAATAGTGGAATGACAGAATTGAATTATATTGACTCAAAAGTGCCAATTGTTAAATAGAAATTCTGTAAAACAAGTTGTTAACAACTAGTACCTTGGTCACACTTGATGGGGATAAATAAATTTTGGAAATTAGCAAAATGTTGGAATTTGGGTTCACTTTTCCCTGACAACCATAGCCCCATATACATACTAGTAAGGATATAAAACAAAAGCATTAAGAATTATTCTCTTGTGCTGGGTGCACACCTTTAATCCCAGCCCTTGGCAGGCAGGGGCAAGGAGATTTCTGTAAGTTCAAGATCAGCCTGGTCTACAGAGTGATTTCCAGGACAGGTTCCTAAGCAATACAGAGAAGCCCTATCTCAAAAAACCAAAAAAAAAAAAAAAGAATTATTCTTTTTAGGCAGTAGAATTAAAGGCTTTAATTTTCTTCACTGTGCAAATATATTTTCTGTTTCTCTGTTATTTTAACAGATATTTTTAACTTGTGTATTTTAACAGATATTCTTAACTTGTGATATAAAAGTCAAATTTAGAGCTTTTAACGACCAAAATAAACAAACAAAAGAGAGAGCATGCCAAAAGGTGCTCTATGAAATGAATGAATGAAATAAGGGTTTGTAGAGGAATACAATTCTATTGATGCTTGCGGGGACTATGTGAAACAGGGATCATTTAGAGAAATTTTGAACAAAACTGCAGAGATCAACCATGAAAATGAAAAAAGTTTCCCAAAAAATAGTGGCACAGGTAGCTCCAATTGTGAGGTGGTGTCTCTCACAATCCACTGCTCTTCCCAAGTGACATATTTGTCTTTTTTCCCCTTTGAGACTGGGTTTCCCTATGTAGTCCTGGCTGTCCTGGAACTCACTCTGTAGACCAGGCTGGCCTCAGACTCACAGAGATCTGCCTGCCTCTGCTTCCTGAGTGCTGGGATTAAAGTCATGGACCACTGCACCTGGCATATCTTAACAAAGCTTCAAACATCATATCTTATAAATTTGAGGACTGTCCCAAGACCTCTTACTACCACTAAGTGGAAAAATAAGAAACAAACCACTACTGTTTTCTTAAAATTCTGCAAGACTTATCCAATTATTCCAATTTTGTTTAGAGAGCTTGTTTTAATTGTTTCTCTGCATGAGCTGCTTGAATAAAATCACCCAAGGTAAGGGCTAAGGATGTAGCTCAGTGGTAAAAGTCCAGCATCCTTCATAAACATTATTCAAGGAAGTTCTTCAATATCACATACTCCATGACACAGGAAGCTTTTTGTGTAATTAGTATTTGTAAGTATTTAGGCTCTACAGGTCATCAGGGTCTTTGCTTAACTCTGCTTCTGCAGACAAACAGTTGATGAGGAATAACTATACAAAGGGATGGCTATAGTTGTGTTCTAATAAAACTTTATTTACAGAAACAGGTGGGGGCATGATTTGGCCAGTGGAGCATAGTCTGCAGACCCCATGACGATCCCTGCTGTAGATACTTAGTACTCCGAGTCCACTTTTTTCCACTTAGTTCCATTTCTCAAGCATAATATAATTCTCTTGTCAACTATAACAACAGTTGGTTCCCTGGGTAAAACTAGACATGTTGATGGCAGCACAAATAACTTGAGGAACCAAGGATCCTAATGAAAATACTTTTTTCCAAAGAAACCCTATGATTTCCTATAAGCCATATTATGTGCATATGCTCTGAGAAGCTACATCAGAGAGCTATGCTGATTAAATAGAAAATATTGTGAAACTTTGACAAGCCACTTGCTTGCTTACTTGCCAGAGTTCCAATGGCTGAATTGTAGAAATAAGACAGTGTCAGTGAGCTCACAGGGTTTTACCGTAGGTGGAATTAAATGATGTATGTACTTTGCAAAGGAAAGAAATACTTTTCAAATCTGAACTGTTATTATTTAAAATTATTTCTAAATTCCCTATAGAGGAATACTAATATGAATCACTTTGCAATGTTCTATAACAATTTCAGAGTGTTTTGCCCTACATCTTATAAACCTAGATTTTTTCACCTCTCATTTTATCTGCTAAATTGTGCTAGTAATAAAAGTGGGGCATTTCTTGAAGTTGTCACTGGCTTATATTTACTCCTCTCAATTAATTTATGAAAGCTAACATAACTGTAAGAGTAATACGAAACAAAGGGTAAAAGATAGTCTTCCTTCTGTTTTTCCAGAATAGCTAGCACAACTTCAAGATTGTCCTTCAAATTGGAAAAAAAAGGTAATTCAAGACACTATCCAAAGTTCATATTAGAAAGAACCATAGGAACTGTAGCTATACATTTAAATATAAGACTAAAATTAAATAAATTCAATAAAGAGTTCCACCAATGCCTCCCTGAAGGAAAAATGGGGGACAGAAGTGAGCTAACAGTTTTAGTCATTAGTGTTAGGTATTGCAGATCTCCATTTTCCCCATACTGAGGATCTGACATAGGGCTTCAAGCATATTAAGGCAAGCACTATACAGTAAACTACTGTAATGTCACTTTAATTGGGTCATCATATTGTAAAAACTCAAAAGCAGCATCTACCTAAAAATGGTACTTTGGCTCCCATAATGCGTAGAAGTAAACTGTCCCCCAAACAACTTTAAAATATTAAAAACCCACTGCTAAGGGGTAAACGGGAGAAAGAATTGTGATTCCCTTGTTTGGGAGAATAATTTGATCTTTCTGAAAAGCTGTTGATTTAAGAGTTCAAATTACAACCAATCATTAGGAAGAAATCCCACTAAGATTTTTTTAAAGTCTTGTTAATCAAAAATTAACAAATTTTCCTTCCATTTGGAAGCTAAGGGTCTTGAAACTACATTTTGTATATCTCAGTTCAAAGATCATGGGTCCAGTACTTACTTGGCATAAATCAACTATATCAGAATATGAGACTCCTTTCCCTAATAAAGTTTTAAAAATTACTGTGATAACTGAAAATGACCAAAGAATTTATAATAAAGGAGAAATTTGTTAAACATTCATGTTAGGAAGAAAAAACTAAACTCACAATCTGTCACTTTGTACTATTGTTCTTAACATCTTAGTATATTACCTTGGACTCTATAGTTGTTATGCTGCTTTTATATATAATATTATATTAGCTTGGTATGGAGCAACTCTTAATGTTAAGAGACACTTCTAAATGGCAACAATGATAGAGAATTCTTACTTGCCTGGTTACTTTGGTTGTTTATTTTTTTTTAATTTTGTTCACAAATGATGAAACATTTAAAACCCTAAAGATGGAACTGCTGATAAAATGTCCTGCACACTCTACTTTCTTTTACAGAACACAGAGAACATAATGATCCTAATTGCATTTTGGAAGGAAGCCTTGGGAACCTGTTCTGGAGCCTCATTTGCCCCTTGTATAAAATGGGGACAGAAGTTGAGGGAGCCTATAGCAATGGCTTAGTATGCCTAAGGCCCTAGGTTTAACCTCCAGCACCAAAATAATAGATGAACAAATGCTGTGAGTACAGTTTCATCTACTTCACAGCAAGGAGTCCCCCAGCTAAAGCATGTAGGTAGGAACCAAACCACTTAGCAAAAGTAACTTTTGAGAATTCTCAGTTTCCCAAGTCACTCCACCCAAATGTGAGTTTCCTCCCCACAGATGACAGTAAGTGATGAGTGCCTTGTCTAAAGTCAAATCTCACTTAGTTTCTTGAGCAGGGACACTAGCAGGGCCACAGGGCTTGCTTAAGGACATGGGTTCTCTACTAGCTGATTGTAATGCTTTCTAAGTACCCCCCACCCATTTTTCAGATTCCTCCCTGTCACAACACCAATAGCAGTTTCTCTCTACCACAAGCATGTTTCTCTCCTTTCTAGGATTCCCTGGCTCTTGAAGAATGGGAAACCTGTTTACCAAGTTTGCCATCACTGTGCTAAACTGTAAGTCAGTACAATAAGCTAAAAAATGATTGTGTTTAAAATGGCATGCAAAGTTATATTGTGAATGGTTTTTTTTTAAATCTGAACATAAACTTTTGCATTTCCTCTAGTAAAAGATATGAAAACAACACATTTAAATTACCGTCAAGTTCCAAGATTAAAATAGTCTGTTTGAATGCTGTGCATTTCTTCTTGCTTTGTGTTCCTAAAGATTAATTCTCAGAGTTAAGGATGTAGCTCGGTAGTAGAACATTGCCTAGCCTACATCAGGCCCTGGCTTCCATCCACAGCACCACAAACAGTAACAACAACCCTCCCCCCACCCCCACCCCCAGCAATGGCACAAGGCAAGTTCTTGTCTTCAAGGCACATTTCATTATTTCATGACTATATTAAGAATTGGGCAGAGTCAGAACACACCTCTGGAGGTACGTGTGTTTTCACTCTAGACAATGTTCATCATGCCAAGAGAAAAGTAGAGTGCATGAATTTCTAGACTTCTGTATATGAATTAAACAAATTTTAAAAAGCACTTAGAATCGTGTCTGGTAGAGTTAAGTTTAGAATCGTGCATGGTACACAGTTAAGTGCACTGCGTTTGATAAACTAAGTTAAATAACCCATAACAGCTCCGACTTTAACCGCGCTTAGAGTAACTTTCAAAGGTCTGTTCCATGACCACGTACGCCAATCCTGAGGAAACCAAAAGAGGCAAAGACTACTGCTCTTTTTGGTCCAATTGAAGTAAACACTGGCAAGTCCATATGATGACTCCCTAAATCCAGGGCATCTCGGTTTTAGTGTCACTCTGGGATCCTGTCCCATTTCGGAGACAGGAATGGTGAGGCTTGGGAAAGCAGGGTGGCTCAGCCCTGGTTCTGGCCACCTGTCCCCATCAGGAAGGCCTGGTCCCTCGACGCGGGCAGTAGAAGGGGAAACGGCCAGGGGCTGCGGCCTAAGGATTAACCGGTTCTGGGTCCGACACGCACCTGTACAGGGGCCCGAGCTGGAGCAGGTGCATGAGCAGCACCAGTGGGCGATCCCGGCTGAGGTCGCGGTGGACGAAGAGGAGCGTTAACTGCACCAGAGCACAGGGCATCAACGA